AAAAACAAATCAATCAACAATAGAGAATAGAAGACAGATTGAGACAGAGAAGATAAAATGAGAAGATTCAAAACATGAATTTTCTTATCTATTCTTCTATATACATATATATGAGGAAAACAGTGGGAGAAATACATTGCTCTGAGAGTATATTGTCTATATCTTAAAACCAGTGTCCAATATCAAGTATGTGCTGATAAGTAAAGCTTAATGGTGCCCATCCTTTTCCCCCATATGGTGTGTAAAGTAAATACCAACACCCCACATTGGATACTTAGTGTCATTTGTTTATATGTTTCATATAATAAGTTTGTCCCATCAACTTACTTTTGATAAAAATAATGTTCACCGTTAAAAGCATCATACTTATAAAATGTTGAAATAAGTACAGAACAAATCTTTTATTGAACTCATTAATTAGTGGGGGAACCTGTAAGATGCTATGGCTTATTCGAGGAGCAGTACAAAAATATTAGAGTCAGATTGCTAGGTTAAACATAAAGCCAGTCAAAGTCTCACAGTGTAATAAATATAATCTTTGAGTTATCTTCTCATCACTTACACCTCTTGGGTACAATTTTTTGGCCACTGGATATGCCTAAGAGTCATTTTATTGTTACCAGTTATTTACAAATTAATCTAGATCCTCAAAGAAATGTAAATTATTTTGCTGTTGTTGTTAGGTGCCATGGCATGGATACCATTAGCAGTTCAATTTTGCTAGAGCATAAGACTGAGGCAGCAGGATAGAGTCTGTGGGAGAGGAGACTGAAGAGGTACATCAGAGTCTCAGAAGTCATAAAACACAAAACACAATGGCATTGAGTTGATTCCAACCCATAATGGCCTTATATAGGGTTCTGTGACTGCAAATCTTTACAGAAATAGCTGCCCCTTCATTCTCCTGCAAAACAGCTGGTGGGTTTGAAAGACTGACTTTGTGGTTAGCATCCCAATGTCTCAGCCACAGTGTGACCACAGGAGAACTTGAATCCAGGGAATGACAAGGCCAGGTTTGCAGCTCAGCTAACTTTGAGTGCACTAAGGGCACTGGACTGAGCATGAGCAGGAAACATCTGCCAGGCAGTGCCTCCTTCTGTTGTCCACGGGGCTGTCATCACGACAGTGCGCCGACTCGTTCTTCAAGGATAGCCAGGGCTGCTCTCTGACAATTTCATTGGGAAACTTACTCTACCCACCCACATCCCCAATCTTACGCCTTCAAACTTCCCAAGCACAAAGAACATTGAAAAGGAACACAATTTGTGTCCAAGATGTAAAAACTGCCACTTTGACATTGTGTAAATCAAAGAGTGCATGGTGTAAATTAGAGACATCAGAATACTGCCTTCAAAAGTATATAGACCCAGGTGGAGCCTGTGTCAAGAAGCAATAGCACACACACACACACACACACACACACACACACACACGTAGCAATACTTTTTGACTTACCTATGTATATAGCTGAGTCTGAAAAGGGGGCCTGATGATGTAGTGTGTAAGTACTTTCCTGCTAACCACCAGAGCAAGAAGTGGCAGTCTGCTTCCATGGAAGATTACAGCCTGGGACAGCCCATGGGACGATTCTACTCTGTCCTACAGGGTGACTGTGAATTGGAATGATCCCACAGCACACATCAACAGCAGTAGTTTAAAAGTCATCCAATCATAGGCTTCCTGGACAACAGAGCCTCGGGCAAAGAAAATAAGTACTGATGCTTTACAGAAGGGGATGGGAGTATGATGTATAATCCTAAGAGCAGCACGTGAGTAAAAATCGAGTGAAGAATGTGAAGCGTTGTGAAATGTGGAGGGCCTTGAAGAGATCTATTGATTTGGTCAGCAACTGTGTCTGCTAGGTGTTTGGGATTTCTCAGGATGGCTGCACTGCAAAACCCTGTCTCAGAATGAGAGGAAGGAGGAAAGGAAATCTATTTGCCCTGATCTCGCCTGTCTCTTGTCCATTGGACAAAGTTTACCCATGTGAAGCTAGCTCCACTGTTCTTCCAAATGGCATCTTCTGGTCCAGGCGTACCAGATCCTATCCCAAATGTTATTGCCAGCAGCTGCAGGCAGAGCACTGGAATGAGGATTGATGTTCCCTGGGCTAGAGGTTGTCATGGAAGTTGGCGCATATGCGTCCTGCCTACAGAACTCTGAAGATGAGGGGCCGACTGGAGCTTCCTCCAAGAACAGGGCATGGAGAAAGGGCAGTCAGACAATCTGCACACTTGGTGTTTGGTGGGGCAGGATGCCATGGAAAGGAATAGACTTCAAGCATCTTGAAAGAATGCCAGTCAGGAGGAAGCCTCCGTGAGGCTAGATATCCCACAGTAAGAGGCTGTGGGTATATCACAGAGTAGGGATGCAAGAGCTGAGGGGCATTGCAAGAGGTGACTTGGAGAGTGCATGCTTATCCCTGGAAACATGACCAGGTCCTCAAGGATCCGTAGATGAAACCGAGGATTGCATTCTGGCTCCCCAGGGCTTTGGGTTATTGAGTGTCTGGGGGGGGGTCATGGAAGTCATGGTGAGGTCATCTGAGAGATTCACGTGGGGAGGGTAGCACCCAGTAGGCATGAACATATATCGTAAGTAGTACAAGCAACATGAAACTGTTCATTTATCTCACCAGCCTTCCTCCTGAGCCTCACAAATCCAAGAAAGAAGAAACACCCCAAAGCGATGGATTGAACTGATAAGAGGAAGTGAAAAGGCATCGAAGATACGAAAAAATAGACCTTTTCCCTTCCTCGATCCATCTTGTAGGTGGTAGATCTGTTGGGAGAGGAATGGGAACAAGTCTTTGAAATGGATGTTAGATGGAAAGTTTTATATGTACTTATAACTGGGCTGGACTCCACAACCCTTGGGTGAGACTCTCAGCTTCCCAAATGGTACTTTGTCCAGATATCAACAGTAACTCGAATACAACAAGGACATTCTGGGAAGAAAAGTATCTCAGGTGAAAAAGAGAAATTCAACAGAGCTTTTTTGAAACCAGTGATTAAAGGAAAATAACTGGTAACAAATGACATCTTTTGGGGGCTTCAAGGGAAGAAATAGAAATAACAGCATATTTAAACAAATAAAACTACTATTCAAATTTCCATTTTAGATGCCATGAGATAATTTTTCTTACATTTAAAACACATGTTAGGAAAAGCACATACCGTATATACTCGAGTATAAGCCAACACGAATATCAGCGGAGGCACTTAATTTTACCACAAAACTGCATTAAAAATGTGCTGAAAAAACTTGGCATATACATGAGTATATACAGTGTGTGGTAATCCCTGTTTTCTGTAAGGATTTCCAGAATGCAACATTGTTAAAGCAACAGTGCCTTTACAAGATTGTACCAGCTGTTTAGGAGAATTCAGGTATCTTCTACATGTGCCTGAGAACAGTATTTCTAATTGGTCTAACTTCCTGGTTCTTGGGACTTGAGCTGGCTGGCTGTTGTCTCTCTTGCCTGCTCTCTGACCTTCTAATAGGAGGTGTGTCAGCCTTGCAAGGCCGTTTATCAGGAGAAACCTCCAGACTGATGCTTGATCTATGCTTTTGGGATTTTCTAGCCTCCCCCACAGGAAGAGCTATTTTCTTGAGATAAATCTCAATCTCTCTCTCTTTCTTTCTCCACTTGTTTTGCTTCTGTAAAGGACCCTGCCAGAGACAATGAAGGATGCCCTTTTCTTTGAATCAGATGCCGCTTTTGGTTTTAAATACGTTTTTGGCCTTTTGATTTCACATCTGTTATGTGAATGACTGCCAGACACATTTAATAAAGCAGTCTCCCCTAATCATTAATTATGACACCAATATACCAGTCGTATTGTATTCTAATGCGATTTGTGCATGCAGATTTCAAAGAGCTTCCCCAGATTTAATTAATCTTCAGTGTTACTAATGAAAACGCATCTACCCGGCATGAGTTTAGGTTTCCAATCTGTTCTTTAAGGGCAGCTCATTTTATAAAGGTACATTTATAACAGCATTTCAGAGGTTACACATTCCTTAGTAAGCAATTGTTTTGATTACTTCATTATCTTTTTTTTCCCTTCCCCTGGATGATTTCAGTTGGTTTCTTCTTACCATCAGCCAAGTGTAATTCCGACCTTCCCGCTCCCTCCCTTTCTTAGCATGGTCTGCATTAGCAAGGGAGCCATTTCCATTCTGAAGACTGAAAACAATTTCATTATCTGATAAAAATTCTTTTCTCACATGCCTAAGAAGCAAATCTCCTCATTTATGGTCTCATTAAGCATTTCATCTACCCAGTAAATCTTCTCCATAACCCTCCTTCTGGAAGTAATCATTCGTGTGGCTCAACCCACACCATCTTGGGATGGGGGTGGGGGTAGGGGTGCAGGGGGAACAGCTATAGAGTCTCCTTTTGGCCTTCCCGCCCTCTTCTTCTTTTCCCCTGCAACGTCGCAGCCACATCAGCTCCTCTGTGTGCCCATGCTAACGTCCTCCTTTCTTCAGACACACTGTAGCATCTACACCGTCACTTTGTGAATTGTCCGTGTTCTTTTCTCTGCTCCTTAACAAGCATTTGAAGGGTAGAGGTCGCAAGTTAGGAGTTTGGGTGTTTTTACGCCTGGGAATGAATACCCGCTGTATATGCCGTTGTCAGCTGCAGTCAAGCCAGCCCCTGGCTCCTGGTAGTCGCATGCACAGAGCAACTAAACACTGTTTGCTCCTGGGTTAACCTCTTCACCAGTTACATGTAGGACCATTGGTGTGACTGGTTTTCGGAAGTAGAGGCAAGGCCTCTCTTTCTAGTCTTAGTCTGAAAGCTCTGCGGAAGCCTGTCTCACATCTACTGCACGTCCCGAGGCACTTCCGACCGACGAGTAAGAGTGCATTGAGTCAGGTCCCCCATTAGAAAGGTGGGGATTCTACCGCTGGGCCATCACTACCCTTGTCAGGTGCTCGGCAGAGCTCAAAAATAGAGATCGTGAAGAAATGAAGGACTGAAAAGCACAGGGTTACTCATTTTAAAAATCAGATTATGATTTTAATGGACTTGAAAAAAAATTTTTTCCCCAGAACACAGGGAAAGTGGAGAAGCCAAAGTGACTTGTATGAGAACATAGATCAGTTGATCAAACTGAGGGCAAGTTGAAGAGCTATATGGATCTGTCCGTGACTGAAAAGAAAGTAGTTAAACTCTCCCAGCGGGAGCTAAAACTTGAAGCTACAGAAGGGCAGGTGAAAAAGAGAAAAACTCAAAGCAATATCTGGAATACTTGGAAAAATATCAGTAGTGATCAGATGGGGCAAGGTCCACGTCTGTGGGTCCTCTGCACAAGTGAAATGCACAGAATTATAACTATTTCTTCTTATCAAATCTCCAAAGGGTGAAAGATACTGCTACACAATTTCTCAGTCTGCTGTCACACTCTTGATTTAATTTTCAGTTTTTCTTTCTTCATCCCTAGTGGAAGAAAGGGGGAGGCATTAGAATACTTATTCACTGCATCATGATTGTGTCAGAAAAATAAGGATGCAAAACACCCCTAGAGAGCACTGAGTGAATCCCACGGGAACACCAACCACGCCCTGCCTGCTGCTTGGAGCTGGACCATCGACAAGGAAACAAAAGTGCGCTCAGAGGTTTTGATGATGTTATAGTTGACACGCTATTACACCTCTAAATAGAGATAGTAAGTAGACAGCTAGCGACAGGAGTCTGGAGTTCATGGGAACACTCTAGAATAAAGATAAACAGTAGGAGAATTTGGGCATATACAAGGTGCTTAGATAGGAAATTGGCTGGGAATATCTTCACGGGGATTCTGAACTCAAAAACTCACTGCCATCAAGTCGATGCTGACTCTTAGCAACCCGAGCGCACAGGGTAGAACTGGCCCTGTGAGATCCCCGAACTGCAGCTCTGAGGGAGTAGAAAGCCCCATCTTTCTCCAGCAGTGTGGCAAGTGGTTTCAAACTGCTGACTTTGGGTTGGAAGCCCAGCTTGTAACCTTTACGCCACCAGGGTTCCTCATAAGAGTCTAGAGAAGGAGAAAGGGAACATCTACCAGGAGAGAGAATGGTTATTTGCTTAAAACTCTGGTCAGATCATCAGTTATTCTAGGGGTCAGTCCACTATGACCTATGGGTCCTATCTAGTCCACCACCGACTTCTCTTTGGCTCTTGAGTGAAAATAGGTTTTACATTTTAGAATCATTTTATATTTTACATTTACATGTTCACATTTTAAAAATGGTTTTTACATTTCAAATGGTTAGAAATTAACCAAAAGCAGATGGGTATCAGATATATAAAACATAAAATAAAAGTGGAGAAGTAAAGTTCTGTGGGAACATCGGCCATACCATGCTCGTTTGTTGACTGCTCACTTGTTGCCTCCAGGGCAGGCTGCTTTCACACTAGGACAGAGTTGAGTAGTTGCAGAACAGACTCGGACCCACAAAGCCTAAAGCAATCAATGTCTGCACTTTTACAGCTAAAGGTGGATGACCTGTGGTATGTGAGAATGTGAGTCCTGGAACAGCTATGGCCACTGGTACTACCATGAGGAAAATTATCTTGAAGATAAAATGTTATGGAGAAGACGGTTTCTAAGATATTTTCTGAGAAATGGAGCCAGAACCCAGAAGTGATCCTGAACTTCAGGACTAAGTCAGGACTGAAGTCTACTTCACCTGTCTAATTATCAGTTACCTGTATGAACACAATTCCTTATTCTATGATCTGGTTGAGGGAGACTTGCTATTCAAAACCCAAACACTCGTGACCAATTTAATTATAAGAATCAGGTATAATTAGTCCTTTTCCGACTTAAATCCCTAACAGCTTATGTTCTCATGGTCTTCGCCCCACAAATACCATGTGCACAACAGATGCTGTTGACTTGTCATCCATTCTACCCTGTCACTAGTTTTCAAACATACACACGCACTCTGCACGCCTAACATTTTAAAATATTTTTTACACCTCTCACTTTTCAGTTTAATTTGACTTGAGTTTGGAAGGATCATTGAAAGGGTTCATTTTATCTACTGCATAACCTCCAACCATCCGAAGCCATCAATTCTGCTTTCCTCCTCTATAATTTCTCTTCCTAAAATTCCAAAGCAAATGAATTCCTCTGTTGTAGGACGGGCATCTATTCCAATATACCTGGAACTATCCAAGGTTTAGTACTGAAACTTCACATCTCAAGAAACAAATAAGCCAGGGGAAAACTGGGAAGGTTAGTGACCCTATCTCCTTGTCTCAAGTAAGTTGGTTTCGCATGATTTTTCTGAAGCATCACCATCATTCCACATCGATGGCCCACAGTGATCATTTGGTCCTGTAGACCTTTCCAAACATCTTCCTAGTCAAGATGGCTCTCTCCTTAAAGCCAACTACCGTTCCATATGCTTACAAATTAAATGTTTCTTATCGTTAAATGAATACACACTTAGGATTGTTATGAATTGGTATTCTTATTGTAGATTTAGTCTTGAAATCTACTTTGAAAATAGCCAAACCAGGTTTTTCATGTTTAGTGTTTTTGTGATATATATTCCTCATCCCTTTATTTTTTATCTATTTATGTCTCATTGAAAATCCACACCATCACGCTCCTTTTATTGAAGGTTTTTGTAATTTTACATTGAACCTAATTGATGATATGGTTGACAAAAGATGAATGGATACATTTGAATTACGGTGCTGGTGAAGAACATTGAAAGTACAGTGGACTGCCAAGAGAACAAACACACCTGTCTTAGAAGTACAGCCAAATACTCTTTAGAAGCAAGGATGGTGAGACTTTGTCTCATGTACTTTGGACATGTTGTCAGGAGAGACCAGTCCTTGGAAGAAGACATCATGCTTGGTAAAGAGGAGCAGCGGTGAAACACAGGAAGACTCTTGACAAGATGGATTGACGCAGTGGCTGCAACAAGGGGCTCCTACATAAGCATAATTGTCAGGGTGCCCCAGGACTGGGCAGAGCTTCATCGGGATGTGCATAGGGTTGTATGTACTGACTTAACAGAACCTAACAATAACAATGATATAGTTGAGAGTAGGTCTGTCATCTAGAATTCCAGAAGGACCTTGTTTATTGTTGTTGCTTTTTCTTTCAATACTTTAAAGGCAATCCATTGTCCTTTACCCTTCCATGTTTTATTCCTATAATTGTCCCTTTGCTTAGTACTTTATAATGGTCTTCTTTCTCTGGCTGGTATTAAGGGTTTTTTCTCCCTTGTGTTAGTCTGGGTACTTTAGAGAAACAAATCCACAGAAACTCATATGTGTAAGAGAGAGTTTTATATAAAGGTTAAGTGCATATCAAGAAAACATCCCAACCCAGTGCTGTCCAAGCTCACAAGTCCAACATTAACCCATATGTCCGACACCAATCCACAAAGTCTTCCTCCGTCTCACAAACCACACACTATGACACCGACTGCAGGAGGAAAACCGAGTCAGTGAATGTGTAAGCATCTCAGCGCTGGAAGGGTCTCCACATGGCTGCTCCAGCACCCAGGGCTGCATCGGGGTAGTTCCATGTGGCTTCTCCTTGGGGATGTCTCACAGGAAGTGAGCCTTGCCAGCTGAAGCAGGGAACTGGCTAAGGCATCCTGGTCCAACCCTGGTCCGACCATCACAAAACCTGAGAACT